GTTGAAGGGCTATACCATTCCTATAATAGTGAAAAATGAGTCTGAAGGATTAGATAAACGATGGATTGAAATGCTTCTATTGTATGCAAAATGATCAGCCACTGTAACCATACTACTTTGAGTATGTAGGCGATACATAATTTCAAAGAAGTAAGTAGCTAAATGTAGAAAATTATAAGAACTATGAACAAAATTAGCAAAATAAAAGACTATTTATACCTATTGATACTATTTATACCTGTGTTCTTATGTTCCATGTCTTGTGTATTTCATCTCCACAGCTATGCATTTCCTTTATCTATAATTATTTGGCTATTTCAACCTCTTTTTTCCCCCAATTTTCTCTCTCTTATATGATGAGTTCTGGAGCTGACTAATGTTACAATCTATATTTTAGTGGCAGGATGACTTAATTGATATCATCCCACAGTAATATTATAATTTATTAGAATTTTGTCTTTGCTCTAGTGAATACAAATTACTGATTTTGAGCAAAGGAAAAAAAAATCTAAATGGCAACAGTCATGACTGTGCCTTTTTTTTTTTTTTTTTTTTTGCCTTGTTCTACATTCATTCTCTATTCTTTGTGTCCTAATAGAAGGACCTCTACAGACTGCATTACTCAGGCTTCCATATGGGTTTGCTTCCAATTAGGTGAGCGAATCTGGAGCTACAGGGAGATGAGAGGAAAGGAGAAGGAATCACTCTTATCCACCCTTCTTGCTGTGGACAGCGTTTTAATATTGTGCCTATATCTACTGACCACTACAGCATCCCTTGGCCAGCCATTCCTCCATGGACCTTACTCTCACTGGGCTTCAGCAGCGTAATTTCCTCCTGTTATCTTTTCCAGTGTAAGGCCAGGAAAGGCATATTAGTCTCTGAATGTCTCAATGCCCTTTGTTATCTCCCTTAACCCAGACCTTACTTCTGTAAATATTTCATAAAGACTCTTAAAAAATATGAGTATAACTGTGTTTCCTGATGGGACTCTGACTGATAATGTACCTACCATTTTCAATAAGGTGTTTTTGGAATCATATAGAAGGATGAGAGGCTGACAAGAATACAGAGATTGCCATGTTCTACCCTTTGTAACCTTAACCCTGACCGTGCAAGCTTTCTCATACTTTGAGCTCTTCAAAAGAATCTATATAAATCCAAGGCTTCTCCTTATAATTCTTGTTTTCTTTGAACCTGCTGAAGTTTAAATCCCTGCAGCAGTGCCAAGCAGGGGGGCTCCAAACAGACCTCTGCTGTTTTAATAAAAGGAAAAGAAAAAGGGGAGATAAAATAATGAAGGGCCATGAGAAGTGACACAATTGTGAGATTCTAGTATATTTGCTGTGTAAAAAATAGTAATCTAGAAAAAAATAGTCACTAAAAGCTTAGATTTTGTCATAAAAATGTGAACTTTTTAGATGTTATTATATTCAAGGCATTACTTGCTTGCAGTATTTAAAGAAATGTTAGATTTATAGGTATATTTTCATTTGTTTTTAATAATTTACATCTCAAATATAATAATGGGAACAACACTGTGATTTAAATTTACACAATGCCAAATATAAAATAAAAATGTTCTAATCTCTGTAGGTACTAAAATCACAAGAACTGTAGGAGAACTGTATCATTATATGAAGTCATAGAAATCCTGGTCTTATTATTTTAAAACTTTGATCTATCCAGCCAAATAGGTTAATAAAATAAGAGACTCAGGGTGGATTTCTCTTCCAGTGAAAAGCCTAAAAACAGAATACAGTTGGACAATTCTGAACCATTATAAGATTAAAGAGCTGTCTGCAGCTTAAAGACAAGTTTTATCCACATAAAGATCTACGAGGGTGGCAATGGATGCCTGGTTTGCCATGTTAGTGACATTTCTTGAAAGAAAGGATTATGATTAGAATTTATTGGTTAAATTCTATTGGGAAAGTGAATATTCTGATAGTTTTGCTTAAAACTAATGATCTCTCATTGAAATTGACCAATATAGAGGATAAAAACAGAGGGTCTCATAGATTCTGCCTGCAAATGGATACTAGTTTTATGTTTGTGATGGACCATGTATTTGATACTGTTAAGACACAATGCTAGAACAAGTCTGTCTAAACCTACACTGAATATTTTAAATTAATTATGCAATATCATATCCTACCATAAAATTTTAATTTCAACTCCTAGCTTTTTGTATTTTTCTGTATAATCAGACTCATGACTTTAATATACACATTTAACGTATTTCTATATTTTTCTTCAGAATCACCACAAAGAAGTCCTATGTGATATAAGCTTACTGGTAGATTGCTGGTCAATCAATATTATAAGGTAAAAAATATTTGCAATAAAATATTTTGTTATATACCTGCTGAGTTTGAATTTTATTTTTTATAAGTGTATGTCTGACTCATGCTATGTTTTTAAATGTTATCAACCTATCCATATCCTTTACATATAAGTATATATAATTATATATAATATATATATCCTACATATCCTACACATCCACACATATACGTGTGTGTGTGTGCATGTGTATATACACATATATAAGCATGCATATAGGCTGTTTAACACAGTGGTTGAAATCTATTATTTAAAACCAGTGTTGAATCCCAAGAATTCTGAGTTTCTCAGAGAAAGGGAAAGAAAAAGAAACCTAAATTCTCAAAAGACTACACACCAAATGTTCCCACTAATCATCTCACAGGATCTTCCAATTCTCTATATGCTTTCATAGCTCTACTCTTCCTGACATCCTCTACCCCAGCACCTGTTCCTCAAGTATCTGCTGTGCTGGAATGCTAGTGCCTGACGACAACAGAAACAGAAAGAATACCTCTCCCTTATTCTGACAGAAAGATATGTAGATTATTCACCTGAGGCAGGCAGATAACTTGAAATATTAAAGGTGGGTCGCCTTTTTCTTCTGTACAATACTCCAAATGAAAGCTGGGAAAATTTCATCAGATCCTAAATCAATTATTTGGAGGACACAGCATCAAGTGTAAAAGTAAATGGGCTAAGACATAGTTTCACAGCACAAAATGTATTTTTATTCCCCATTCCTGGAATGAGATGAAGCTTGGTGACAATAAGTAGATAGAGGTAAAGAGGTTCTTTTTGTTTGTTGTTTTAAGAAAACAGAGGAAATAAATATAGTGTTTGGTTCCCATTCACTGGGTCCCAACCCTCTGCTGCCACATGGATGACAGTCAAGGTTTCTCTCAGGGGTCTAATGCCAACTCATCCCTATACAATTGGAGAAGAAAGCTCGAGTTAGTGGTGTAATAACGCAAAGAGTTAAGACATGTTTCACCTGTGAAAAGCTGGTTCCCACACCAATAAGTGTTAAAAGTGGCCCATAAGGACAAAGGAGAGAAATGCATAGAGGGGTTTCATATGCTTATCATGTGTCAGCCATCCTGGGAATCTCTAGTTTCCATAATGATACCGTGCTACTTCCAGTTTTGGTCTTCGCAATGATTGTTCCTTGTGCTTGAATGCTTCTCCTGAATTTTAGATGAATAGATATTTATTCATACTCAGATTTCAGCTTAAGAAAGTATCCTCTTGGCTGGGGCATGGTGGCTCATGCCTGCAATCCCAGAACTTTGGGAGGCCAAGGAAGGCGGGTGACTTGAGGTCAGGAGTTCAAATCCAGCCTGGCCAACATGGTGAAATTCCATCTCTACTAAAGAGATAAGAATCAGACATGCTTTGTGGTGGGTACCGTAATCCCAGCTTCTTGGGAGGCTGAGGCAGGAGAATTGCTTGAACTCGGGAGGTAGAGGCATCAGTGAGCCGAGGTCATGCCACTGCACTCCAGCCTGGGTGACAGAGTGACTCCATTTAAAAAAAAAAAAAAAAAAAAAGACTTTTGTTTCCATTGCTTTTGGTGTTTTAGTAATGAAGTCTTTGCCCATGCCTATAGCCTGAATGGTACTGCCTAGGTTTTCTTCTAGGGTTTTTATGGTTTTACGTCTTATGTTTAAGTCTTTAATCTATCTTCAGTTACTGTAAGGAAGGGGTCCAGTTTCAGTTTTCTGCATATAGCTAGCCAGTTTTTCCAACATCATTTATTAAACAAGGAATCCTTTCCCCATTGCTTGTTTTTGTCAGGTTTGTTAAAGATCAAATGGTTGTAAACGTATGATATTATTTCAGAGGCCTTGGTGTTCTGTTCCATTGGTCTATATATCCGTTTTGGTACCTGTACCATGCTGTTTTGATTATTGTAGCCTTGTAGTATAGTTCAAAGTCAGGTAGCGTAATGACTCCAGCTTTGTTCTTTTTGCTTATGATTGTGCTGGCTATATGGACTCTTTTTTAATTCCCTATAAAATTTAAAGTAGTTTTTTCTAATTCTGTGAAGCAAGTCAATGGTAGCTTGATGGGGATAGCATTGAATATATAAATTACTTTGGGCAGCATGGTCATTTCCATGACATTGATTTTTCCTATCCATGAGCATGGAATGTTTTTCCATTTGTTTGTGTCCTCCCTTATTTGAGCAGTGGTTTGTAGTTCTCCTTGAAGTGGTCCTTCACAAAGGGGATCTAATTAAACTACAGAGCTTCTGCAGCAAAAGAAACCATCATCAGAGTGAACAGCCAACCTACAGTATGGGAGAAAATTTTTGGAAACTATCCATCTGACAAAGGACTAATATCCAGATTCTACAAAGAACTTAAATTTACAAGAAATAAAACAACCCCAACAAAAAGTGGGCAAAAAATATGAACAGACACTTCTCAAAAGAAGACATTTGTGTGGCCAACAAACATACAAAAAAAACCTCTTCATCACTGATCATTAGAAAAATGCACATTGAAACCACAATGAGATACCATCTCATGCCAGTTAGAATGGTGATCATTACAAAGTCGGGAAACAACAGATGCTGGAGAGGATGTAGAGAAATAGAAACACTTTTACACTGTTGGTGGGAGTGTAAATTTGTTTGACCATTGTGGAAGACAGTGTGGCAATTCCTCAAGGATCTAGAACCAGAAATACCATTTGACCCAGCAATCCCATTACTGGGTATATAACCACAGGACTAGAAATCATTCTACTATAAAGACACTCACAATAGCAAAGACTTGAAACCAACTCAGATGCCTGTCAATGATAGGGTGGATAAAGAAAATGTGGCACGTAAACACCATGGAACACTATGCTGTCATAAAAAAGGATGAGTTCATGTCCTTTGCAAGGACATGGCTGAAGCTGGAAACCTTCATTCTCAGCAAACAAACACAGGAAAAGAAAACCAAACACTGCATGTGCTTATTCATAAGTTGGAGTCGAACAATGAGACCACATGGATTGAAGGGGGACATCCCACACTGGAGCCTGTTGTGGGGTGGGGCCCAGGGGAGGGATAGCATTAGGAAAAATACCTAATGCAGATGACAGGTTGATGGATGCAGCAAACCACCATGGCACATGTATACCTATATAACAAACCTACATGTTCTGCACATGTATCCCAGAACTTAAAGTAACATTAAAAAAAAAAGAAAAAGAATCCTCTTGCAACCCAATGCAAGTATACACCTTGTGTGTACAATATTGTTTCACTTTATTATTCAATATAACACTCAACTCTCTTAACTGAATCCTTAACAAGAGCAATACCCTCACTATGTGATTCATGAGTCTATGCCCAGTTTTAAAGTGATACCTAATATATAATATTCACTCTATAAATGTTTTATGAATTCATAAATTTAGCAGATATTTGCAGATATCTATGCATTTCATACTGAATGCATAGATGAATGTTCTGCTAAATATCAAGCAGCTATATCTTTGAGAAAAGACTGTGGCGTTGTCAATAGAAAGGTTCTTAAAAGCGGCAGGGATTGATGAAGCTTTTATATATACGGTTAACTCTCAGATGACCAGCAGCACTTTCTAAATCCGCGGGAAGTTAGTAATTCCGTAAAGGCACAGTTTCACCCCTTCCTCATTTCATGTATCGCTCATGATGAAAGGACTGGGGGCCCTGCCTGCCACACTTTTCCGTTTTTCTGTTGCTCCCACCGAAGCCGCATGCCCGGCACCATCCCAGCACCATGAGCTTTGGCTGGGAGCACTACCTGTGCTCCTCCTCCTCCTACCTTAAAGTGTTGGGGATGGCTCTCGCCTGTCCATGCCTCTCCGGGTCAGCGGCGCGGGCAGCTTTCGCTCGCAGTCGGTGTCCCGCTGCAATGTGGCCTCCTGGATCAACTGCTCCTTGGCCACGTCGCTCGGCCTCTGCCTCTGCCTCGGCCTGGCCTACCGCCGGCCGCCGGCGTCTGACAGGCTGGACCTAAGCCAGACAACAGCGCGCACCAACGAGTACAAGATCAGCTGCACCAACGAGGAGCAGCTGCAGGGCCTCGATGACCGCTTCACGGTGTTCATCGAAGGTGCATTAGCAGGATACGCAGAACCGCGCGCTGGAGACTGAGCTGGCCGCGCTGAGGCAGCGCCACGCCGAGCCGTCGCGCATCTGCGAGCTCTTCCGATTTGCGCGCGCAACTGGAGGAGGCGAGCTCGGCGCACGCGCAGGCCCTGCTGGAGCGCTACTGGCTGGCCGAGGAGGTGCAGCTGTTGCGGATGCGTTGCGAGGAGGTGAGCTGTGGACGCGAAGCGCGGAGCGCGGAGCGCGCCCTGAGGCGCAGCAGCGCGACGTGGACGGCGCCACGTGGACGGTGCCACGTTGGCCCGCCCGAACCTGGAGTAGAAGGTGGAGTCGCTGCTAGACAAGCTGGCCTTCGTGCGCCTGGTGTACCATGAGGAGGCAGCCAAGCTACTGGCCACGCTTCAGCTGTCATCACAGGCCGCAGCCGAGGTGGATGTGGCTGTGGCTAAAACAGACCTGAGCTTGGCGCTGAGGGAGATTCACGCCCAGTATGAGTCCCTGGCCACTAAGAACGGGCAGTCCTTGGAGTAATGGCACAAGTTCAAGTTTGCCAACCTGAACCAGCAGGTGGCGAGCAGCACCGAGGCCGTCCAGGCCAGCACGAGGAGATCCACGAGTACCGTGCCAGCTGCAGGCGCGCACCATCGAGATCGAGAGCCTGTGCGGGGCCAAGGAGTCCTTGGAGAGGGATATCCTGGAGCTGGAGGAGCGGCACAGTGCCGACGTGGCTGGCTACCAGGATAGCACTGGGCAGCTGGAGAATGATCTGAGGAACACCAACAGTAAGATGGCACGCCACCTTTGGGAATACCAGGGCTTGCTCAATGTCAATATGACTCTTGACATTGAGGTAGCAGCTTACGGGGAACTGCTGGAAGGTGAAGAGACACGTTTTAGCACCAGTGGGTTAAGCATTTCGGGGCTGAATCCACTTCCCAATCCAGGTTATCTGCTCCCACCTAGAATCCTCAGTTCTACAACCTCCAAAGTCTCATACTCTGGGCTATCTCTTAAGAAACAGGAGAAGGAGGCATCTAAGGTAGCATCTAAGCAAACCTCCCAGATAGGGGAAAGTTTTGAAGAAATGTTAGAGGAGACAGTAATATCTACTAAGAAAACTGAGAAATCAAATATAGAAGAAACCACCATTTCAAGCCAAAAAATAAAATGCCACTGCTTTGAAAAAGTTAATGCTTAAAAGGAAATGATATGCATTTGACTTGTTAAACAGCCTATCCCTAAACCATAACACCTGCCACCACTATAAAATGTCTTTAAGGCTTCAGTCTCATATTTAGTATTTAATATTTACATTCTCTAATAAGAAAACCACCCCTTAGATTAAAGTAAACTGCAGTCCTGGAGCAATCACAGACGAGTTATCTGAGAATACAGCTTTCTGACTTTCAGCCCAAGCTTCACAGTGATCGATGATTCAGGTGCAGAGGAAGTACAAACTAAGGTACTAAGTCTGTGATCATCGTCATTTGCTGTGAACTGAAATTAAAATTGTTGACGTTACTCAGCCATTACCCAGCTAAATAATCTTACTCTAGATACCTAAAACATAAGATTACTGCCATAGATAAACTAATGGTCCACACCCAATTCCACTCTGATAGAATAGTTTAATATGTGTTTATTTAATGTACACCTTCTACCTCCCTCAATTTCATATATCCTTTTTTTCCATGCAGGAAAAAAATTGTCTAGTGTAGTAGTCTTCCCATTTAAACACATTTTGGTTTTTGTCAAAAGAACTTACCCCCATTAGCTCTCTTTGCTCAGTGGGTAAAATTAGATGCGTGTTGACCACGTCTATGATTTGCATAATGACTCATCCCTGCCTGTTTCATATTATTTCAATCCTGTAGGTTAAAAAAATGGCAGTGCTGAATTTTAAGGGTTTCGCCAAACAAAATAATGAAAAATATCCCTAGACTTTAGGCTTTTTGCTTACACAAATCTATTTAGTTAGGGGAAAAAACTATTAAGGATGTAGCTTTTCACCTTTACTTTAGAAGCACAGCAAATAGTTATCCCAAACTGTGACTATGCTGATCTTAGATTTAGTAGTATAGGCTAGAAGTGATTTAAGTGTAAGCTAGAAGAAGTGAGGGTTTCTATGAGTGGAAAAAGCCAAGGTGTCCTTTATGTGTCAGTTCATTTGTGATGATATAGAATTAGCTTTCTCGTGCCCTTACCCCTTAGAATTCACGTATTCCGCTTCCCACTAGTCTAAGTGCTAACGAGTCCTTGCTTTCACCCTCCTATGCCTTTTATGAGTACTAGTGTTGGATATTTTTTTGTGTTGGGGAGAACACAGTGCTACTGCCCCAAAGTAAAAGAAACCACTTCTGGTTAATCAACCACAAGCAAATATAAAAAAAAGTAATCTTTCTCTTTTCTAAAAGAATTCCCCATTATTTACCCCATGGCTGCACAGTTGATGGGGTCCTGCCAGAGAAGAAGAGACATTCAGACCAGAGAAGGGGTGTGCATATGCCTACTTGCTTGCTAGAAGTAGATTCTGGCCAGTCAGCTCTTCATCTGCCCAACTGTGTAGCATCTGCATTGCCCAGTCTTTCACGTGTGCCAAGGCTGATGCAGGATTTGTTCTTTGTCCGGCAGTCACTTCTGCCACAGCTGAAGACTTGCCCTGTCTCTGTTCCACGTCTCCTTTAAGAGCTCTGGTGAAAGGACATGATGCTTTTACTAAATTTTCTTATCCTAGCACATGCTTCAATGGTTCAAGGAACTTGAAAGATACTTTTCTCTTCTTCCTTACCTTTACCCCATCCCTGTCTTTACTCCTCACACTTACTGTAAGACATTAGTAAAATAAATTTAAAGTAACACGAATCCCACAAAAAACACACACACCCAAGAAAGGACTGGAGTTGTATGTCAACATCAGGAACCAGCAGGAAGTAGAGAGAAAATATTGGATTCACTTGTGGTCTCCCCTTCTCTCATGAGTAATATGTAGTTATAATTTAAATCCATACAGACTCCTGTCTTGTGTCCTGATACATAGGATTGTGTGCATTAGTGGTTTAAAATGGGACCTGGAGAAGTTTAAGGGCAAACTAAGAGAGTTGTTTTGTTTTGTTTTGTTTTGTGTGTGTGTGTGTGTGTGTGTGTGTGTGTGTGTGTGTGTGAGAGAGGCACGGGGTGGGGGGTAAGAAAATAATGAAAACAACATGATATCTTTCCTCAATAAATTATAAAGAATATGATACAGTGCTGTTAACTCTAAGTATATTGTTGTACAGTAAATCTCCAGAACTTAATGATTCTTGTTAGTGATATTTTATATCATTGAATAACAATTTGTCATGTCTCTCTACTCACAGCATCTCAAAGAGATGTCCGCACTACCATGTTCATTTCAGTCATTATTCACATGAATCAAGATGTGGAAACAATTTAAATGTCAACCAACTGCTGACTGGAAAAGAGAAAATGCTGTATATACATACAGTGGAATATATTTTGGCCTTAAAAAAGGAAATCTTCCTGCTATAGACTGAATGTTTGTGTCATCCAAAATGCATATGCTTAAACCCTAATTCCCAGTGTGTTGATATTTGAAGATGGAGCCTTTGGAAGGTGATTAGATGAAGACTGTTCCCTTCTAAGAGATAGGAGAGAGCTTGCTTCCTTTACCTTGCTGTCATGTAGAGATATATCAAGATGGTAGACTAGAAAGAGGACCCTCCCTAGAAACAAAACCAGCCAATACCTTGATCTTAAACCTCATAGTCATTAGGACTCTGAGAAATAAATGCTGTTGTTTAAGCCATCCAATTTATGATATCTTATTATAGTAGCCTGAACTAACTGAAATACCTACCATTTGTTACAACATGCATAAACCTGAAGGACATTATGCTAAGTGAAACAAACTAGTCACAGGAGAACAAATATTGCATGAATCCACTTACATGAGGTATCTAAAAGAGCTGAGAGTGCATAATTTCTACTGTGACTGATTTATCCAAAGTAAATAATATTGAAATCATTTTGAAAATGCCTGTATTGGTTTAATTTACAAAGAAACAGTAAGCTAAATTACAATTATTGATAGATCATGTGCGTTCCATTCAAATAGGGCAGTAATATTATTGGCACTTCTAATTTGAGAAACAAAACAACTTTACAATTTTTTTTCATTGTTTACTACAGATCTTAGCTATTTGAGGGGAAAAAGCAGCTTTATTCTTTGCAACAGATGCTTTATTTTAATTCTAAGGCTGGCAGTCTATCTTTAGACTCTGACATACTAGTGCAGGAAACAATTATCTGAAAATTGTTAAGATTACAGGAAAACAAAGTGGGGATAGGTTGGCTTGAGTCAAATGTTCTAACAGGATTAAATGACTGAGTACACTGATCCTTCTGTATTTAGTAAAATACTTTTATTTACCCGACTTACTATAGCTCCTCTTCAATGTCTAAATAATCCTTAATTTCGGATCTTTTCTTCTGCATACCTTCCTCGGCTTCCCAGAAATCTTGCATAGGTCCTACTGCTGACCCACTGCAGGTCTTAGTCATTTTCTTCACCCTGATGGCACCTCATTCTGGATTTCTAAAGGTTGTAAGTACAAAATGTTAAAGTAAATACTGGCATGGCTGCTGACAAGTCTGGTTTGAATTATACCCAGTTAACAGGTTTTGAAACCACACTGTACATCATTCAAATATTTTTGAAAAGCGTGTAATAAGTTGAAAGGATAGGTGTGTTTCATCTGAATAAAATTTGAAACATCCCGTAAAACTTTCAAAATAGCCAATTCCAACCTAAATAATATTTCCTCTATTTATAAAAATATGGCATAGATACCTCCATAGCTCAAGATACAGGTAGGTAGGTGGGTGGATACATAGACAGTTAATAGATAGATTAGACAGATAAATAGATTAAAAAGATAGGGGCTCTGCAAACAAAATCTCTGCAGTCTAATATTTGATGGAAACATTTTTACACTCCTTCTCTACAAGGAATGAACTAAATGTTAACAGTCTAGCAAAGAGCCTATTCATTTGGGTTTCTCAATACAACAATCAAGAAAGGAGGACATTTGTTTCTATAAACAAATGTCCAGAACAATTATTGAAGTAGATCTCCATAAAACAATAGCTACAAGGCATGATTACAAGGCAGTGTTAGAGTAACTTTTATTCTCTACAGGCACATTAATATTATTTATAAGTAAAGGGTTTTCAGTACTGTTATTCTGTTACTTCTTGCTTATTTTGATTATCAGATACAAGGCTAAATAAAAAGTTTAACTCATATTTTAAAATACTTTAGCTATAAAATAATGACTTGCTTCCATTTTTATTGCTCTTTGCCTTGTTTATGTATCTTAATAATAGTGTTTTGTTTTTTTTTAAGGCACGTATTTCCAGAAAACTTTGGATATTTTTCAGCCACATCCCCAATATTGAATAACACCTAATTTAAAGTTTTTTTATGGAAACTTACTATACATGATAATGTCTCCAACTTTTGAATCAGCGGTAGCAATAATAATTTCAGTGACAAAACAGTGAATCCTTCCTTTTGGTTTGGATTTTAGCACACAACTAGGTCTAAGTAAACTTGGACATTTTAGATAGAAAACTTATATACAATCTTGATTTAAAAAAAAGAGCATTCTCTATCAGGAAACCATGCATTATATCTTTCAGTATAACATAGATTATTTAAAAATTCTATATGCAAAATTATGTGCAGAAGTTAATCATCCTGATATCACATAAGAAGCTGAAGCTTTGGATTCTCCAATCATTAAATTTCCACCTTAGAATTAATTTTATATATTACATTGGTGATTTTATAAGACAAATGGAATTTGCAATAATTTTTAAAATAAAATTTGCATGCCAAGATTATTTAATCTAGGAATTACTGAAGATATATTGAAATAACATAAATCATTTTGTTAAAACAAAAGAACATCCAAAATGGTATATTTGGAGAAAATTTTAAAGTAAAAGTTCAAACCATAAGCTAAATGATATAGAGACTGGAACAAAAACTTTAATTATCATTCATATAGAACTGATATTGGAATATGCATTATGTCAATCTTAAAAAGTTTATCCGATTTTAATTTTGTTTTTGTCAGTATTCAGATATTGACACATTCTGGTTGTAAACTGAGATAAACCTGAAAAATTATGGTGATAGTGATAAGAAAAGATTGATGTGAGTAAAGGAAAAGCTGAGAAAAATGCCAGATATAGTATTTGAAACTGTAAGTGTGGACACACTTGCCAAGGTAGAGTGGAGTAAGTAGGAAATCAGTCTAAAAAGATGTCCTAGGGACACTGACTACGGTTAGAAAAGGGAGTAGAGCAAAGAAGCTCAAAGAGCTAAGAAATCCTCATGAAGGCACAAGTAAACACATGTTTTTGGTCAAGGAGGTCAAAGGAGATAAATATAAAGTGCTGAGAAATAGAAATTTAATTGTTTCATATATATGAGACAATGAGACAATTTTAAATTTCCTTTCATTGCTTTCTTAGGTTTAAAGATAAATGTGATATGCAATGGAAAAAATTGTTAGGTATGGCAGCTTTACAGGGTGGTAGTTGTTACAAATGAATGTGTAGATGTGTGTTTGTGCATGAGTGTAGGCATGTATACACGTGTGTACAGGATATATGCATATGTATTTTACCCAAGCATCTAGAACATAACTATTGAAGGATGGTACTTTTACAAGGATGATAATTCAAATTGTT